GGATCACATCATAAACTGGGACGGCTTCTGTAAATCAGGGACTTCTCTTGAAAGTAGGGAGACTTGGAGAGTCTGCAGTCACAAGGGACTGGCTATTTAGAGGAGATAACTAGGAGAAGATTTTTTAGAAAGCAGCTCTGCAAAAGAACAACAAAACCCCAACACTGGAACAAAGGCCATTTCAGAAAGATATTGCTGATCCTTCTGAATTTCTTCTGAGCTGCATTGAAGTCGGATCAGTCTGGGGCTGCTTTGATTGCTCTGACAGATCCAAGGCTTGATCTGATTACCTCCAGGAAAATCGCCCAACTTGCTAGAAGACAAAGCAGATCAGATCTTTATTGTTTATATATTTAATTGCCCTAGTCTGCCACCCTTCAAGGCATACATTCTCAGGGCTGCTTACATTCATAAAACAGAACAGAGGAAAAAAATACAGTAATTTCACAGTATTAAAACAACCGATAAAACTTGCAACCAAACATCAGAGCGAGGAGAAAATATCCGAACGAGGAGAGTGAAAATCCTGTGCTCACCCTTCCACCCCAAACTAGCAGGACTTGCCCTGTGATTCAAAGAAGTGGCTTCTTGTCTGTTGGTGACTTGTGGAGGTCAACTGGTAGCTCCCCACTCCTCAGCAGGTAAGATGCATCAGCAGAGTCTTCAGAAAATTCCTGCTCCCGGCAGAACAGCTTCTTCCAGAGTTCCCAGTTAAGGGGGAAAACTCCTCTCCCACACAGTTCAAAGTAATAATATGTTTACTGTCTGCAGATACAAGACAAATCTAAACACTACTATCTGCTATATACAGTTCTTCAGATCTATAGAGATACATCTTCGTCTTTGGCAATCACTCACAGCCGAGTAAGATTGTCTTCCATGAACACGGTTTTAACAGTGAGTCTGTAAGTGACCGTGGAGGCCGATTCTGGATCTAGAAGTCCTTCCACAGTGGGGATATAGGTTTCCGGATGAGAGCTAATCACGGTGAGGGTTTGCCAAGTGTGCCTTCCTCTTAGCACGTTTCTCCCTTTGGTCCTGAGTTTGAGCATCTTCAAAACCCATGACACCTTTGTTAAAGGCTGTTCTCCAGTTGGAGCACTCGCAGGCCAGTGTTTCCCAGTTGTCAGTGTTTATACTAGCTTTTTTTTAAGATTTGCCTTGAGAGAGTCTTTGAACCTCTTTTGTTGACCACCAGCATTACACTTTCTATTTTCTAAGTTTAAAGGCTGTTCTCCAATTGGAGCGCTCGCAGGCAAGTGTTTCCCAGTGGTCAGTGTTTATACTACATTTTTTAAGTATATACTACATTTGTATTGAGAGAGTATTTAAACATCTTTTGCTGATGTTTTGCACATCCCAAGTGGTGCGTAATATTTTTCGGAGACACCGTTGATGGAATCTTTTGAGGAGTTGGAAATGGCGTTTATAAGTGGTCCATGTTTCACAAGCATACAGTAAAGTTGGTAGTACAATAGCTTTGTAAACAAGCATCCACTAACACTATAACCATGCTAGCTAACACTGCTGTGTAACACCCACAGCCTATTCCCCTAACACTCACAGATTCACATTCAGACCCTGACGGCAAACAGGACAGAACACAAACATAACAGACACAATGAAAGCAATGCCCTAGAGACTATTGCACCCATCTCGACATTCCTGAACCAATGGGAGGGTGAATACACTTGACCTCTGCTCTTTTGCTATGGTAGCCCAATGGACTTGCTCTTTTATCTCTGAACACCCAGACATGGTGTGTGTGCTTACTAACTCAAGACATGAGACCAGGCCCTGTGCAATTCAACGCATTTTTCACGTTACGCCAACATTGTCTTCCTTCTGGTCCTCCCGCAAGAGCCGCCTCCCACCCAGACCTTAGGACAGTGAAATGGAATGCCTTAAAAGGGGGACTCTGCCTTAGATGTTCATTATGTCTTGTTTTTAAACTTAGCTCCAGTTCTCAAAACCAAGGAACCATTAGACCAGTGGTTCCGAAATCCTTTGGAGCTACTGCCCCCTTGGTTCCATAAACTTATCTCCAGTGCAACGCACCCTACCCTATAAAAAGCATTATTCAGAATAACAGAAGAGCAGTTTGCATGACCCACTAGGGAAGAGAATAGAGCGGCATAAAAAACCAGTAACAATTAATTGCACATTTATTCAAAATCCAAACTATTTCACAAAACTGATGAACTTGATCCAGTGATTCCAGCTTTTCAAAGTTGGATATTCATTTATACCTCCATTGCCCACTTGCCTCTTAGTGCCCCCCTAGGGAATCACATTTTGGGATCCACTGCCTTTGACCAGGGGTCAGCAAACTTTTTCAGCAGGGGGCCGGTCCACTGTCCCTCAGACCTTGTGGGGGGGGCGGACTATATATTTTTTTTTTGGGGGGGGGGAATGAATTCCTATGCCCTACAAATAACCCAGAGATGCATGTTAAATAAAAGCACACATTCTACTCATGTAAAAACACCAGGCAGGCCCCACAAATAACCCAGAGATGCATTTTAAATAAAAGGACACATTCTACTCATGTAAAAACACGCTGATTCCCAGACCATCCGTGGGCCGGATTTAGAAGGCGATTGCGCCGGATCTGGCCCCCGAGCCTTAGTTTGCCTACCCATGCTTTAGACTGACAAGGTGCTGGGGCTATCTAATGCAAGAGAGAGTGTGTGTCAGGAAGAGAAAGATTTATTTACTTTATCTGCTAACTGACTTCTGATACAGCTCCTAAACTCACCGAGAGCGGTATTTATCAGCTGGAGAATGGGGCGGGGGGGGGGGGGGGAGATATACCAGGACAAATACATGAGCTACCTGTGGCAGATAATAATTCAATGAGCCGGCCAAGCCTACCGAGACTGGCATTTCTCATTTCATTGTTGCCGTGTTTGCAAAGGATTTCGCCCTCCCCTTGTTCCCAGTTAATTTCTCTGTTTGTTGAGATTTAGCCCTTGGTTGCCAGCTGCCGATCTGATAAGGGGAGCTGCAGCCACACAGAGGAACAGGCTTGCATTTTCTCTCTCTTTCTCTCTTTCTCAAGTGGAGCCAAGCTCAGCGAAAGTGGCATGTGTGAGTTTGGAGGGGGGGGAGCGCACAGCTCTTTTATTAAGAGCCCAAATATTGACTGATGCAGAGAGTGAAGGAGCCAAGCCAGCTTCAGAGATTGCAGCACAGTGGTCTGTAGGAAGATGATACAAACACAGGCTCAGCCAATCACAGGGTATTATTTCCCACTCCCTTAACCATTAAAAAAATGCAAAACTTCCTTTTGTGGTTTTCGGCTCTTTAGTCATCGATTGCCATTCCTGCGTGCAAGCCCAGATGCACAAATTTTCTGGAAAGGGAGCAATCTTCAGATGGTGCTAAACTGATACCCATCTACAATCTTTCTCATCCCGTCCCCCCCATTTTTTAAAATATAATTTTTATTTTTGAGTTTTTCAGTTTTATAGCATAAATAAATCCAATGGAAATACAATACAATACAATAAATACAATACAATACAATACAATACAATACAATACAGTACAATACAATACAGATATCCTCTTTGACTTCCATTGCCCCCTTTTGTGGTTCTTTGTGTTAAGGTTTTCTTACTGCAGCTCCTTTTTGATTCCAATTACAGTGGAAGCTTGGGTGTCTAACGTACCGTATTTTTCTACATATAAGATGCCCCCCTATTTGGGGGGACTCAGATTTCAGAAATTTGCACTATGCACTATTCATGTATAAGATGACCCCCACTTTTTAGCATAATTTTAAAAGAAAAAAACCTGGTCTTATACACGGAAAAGTACGGTAATTCGTTCCAGAAGACCGTTTGACTTCTAAAACATTTGACAATCGAGGCGCAATTGTCAGTTGGCAAATTCCTTTTAAAAACTGGAGAAACGCGTCTTGGAAGTCGTTCGACTTCCAAGGTGCATTCAAAAACAGAATCATTCACTTCCGGGTTGTCGGCGTTTGGGTTCTGAATCGTTTGGCATCGGAAGCGTTCGACAACCGAGGTTCCACTGTATTATTTACTCCCTCAGCTTTACGAGTTTTAAGTTAATCCTGCTAATGGATTTAATTGTTCACAGTAATTTCCCAAATAAATGATATGCTCCCCATTCTTTGTTAAACATAGTTTCTTCTTGGTTTCTGATTCTTCTAGGAAGTTTTGCCATTTCAGGATAGTCCATTAATTTTATCTTTCTCATCCCCTTTAATAATAATAACAATAACAATAATAATTTATTTATACCTCACCCATAGGGACGCGGGTGACGCTGTGGGTTAAACCACAGAACCTAGGACTTGCCGATCAAAAGGTCGGCAGTTTGAATCTCCGCAACAGGGTGAGCTCTCCTTGCTCGGTCCCTGCTTCTGCTAACCTAGCAGTTCGAAAGCACGAAGTGCAAGTAGATAAATAGGTACTGCTCAGGTGGGAAGGTAAATGGCGTTTCCGTGCGCTGCTCTGGTTCACCAGAAGCGGCTTAGTCATGCCGGCCACATGACCCGGAAGCTGTACACCAGCTGCCTCGGCCAATAAAGTGAGATGAGCTCCGCAACCCCAGAGTCGGCCACGACTGGACCTCATGGTCAGGGGTCCCCTTTACCTTAACCTTTACCTCGCTCATCTGGCTGGGTTTCCCCAGCCACTCTGGGCGGCTGCCTTTGGCAGGGGTGTGTGGTTTGGGTGGCTGTGTAATTTTAAAAAAACCCCTCATATTTTTGTCACCCCCCCTCAGTGATGACCCACCGCACCCGCTTCCTCCACCACTGGGGCTCCGCAATTGTGCCATTTCCATGCTCTGCTTCCAATCCCTGAATCCCTTTCATCAGCAGCTGCTGGGAAGAGCTCCCCTCCCCGCACGCACTTTGCATGAGTTTCAGCTGTCACGTAATTATGTATGGTTTTTTTTTTATCTGTCACTTTCTCCTTCCAAAGTGACAGAGTGTCAGAGCAGGATGGAGGGGAGCCCTGGCGTTCTCACCCACTGCTGGGATTAGCTGCCGATCCGTCTTCCCTCCGAGTCCCTTCCTGCCTCTGAAAAGCAAACCCAACCCCCTGGTGGGGGCGCTTGGCTGGCAACTGGCTTTGACGCAGGATGAGATTGGGAGAGATGTCGATGCGGCAATGACAGATGCCCTGCAGGGACAGATTTGCAGATCCTGTGAGGCCGAGCCAGAGAACAAGGCTGGCGTTTCGGGTGAAGAGACAATCAAAGGCTGGACTGGCATCGCTGCCAAATTCGAGGTCCTGTGGCAGAGAGTCTGGTGTGGAAGTCCCAGAACTGCCAGGAATGGTGATGGGGGGACGGGGGACGATGACACTTTTCCCTTCCGGGAGGATGAAAGCCTCCTTGTTAGCTTCAGGACAGATAAATGAAAGCCCTTCTTCAAGTGGTGAATAGTTAAACTATGGGAGGCAGTGGTGGCCAGCAGCTGAGATAAGGTAAAGGGACCCCTGACCATTAGGTCCAGTCGTGGCCAACTCTGCGGTTGCAGCGCTCATCTCGCTTTACTGGCCGAGGGAGCCGGCGTACAGCTTCCGGGTCATGTGGCCAGCATGACTAAGCCGCTTCTGGTGAACCAGAGCAGCGCACGGAAACGCTGTTTACCTTCCCACCAGAGCGGTACCTATTTATCTACTTGCACTTTGACATGCTTTCGAACTGCTAGGTTGGCAGGAGCAGGGACCGAGCAACAGGAGCTCACCCTGTCACAGGGATTCGAACCACCGACCTTCTGATCGGCAAGTCCTAGGCTCTGTGGTTTAACCCACAGCTTCACCCGCGTCCTGTAGCTTTAAAAGGGGATTAGACAAATTCATGGAGGAGAGGTCTATCAATGGCTACTAGCCAGGAGAGCGAAGCTGTGGCTCCACAGCTGGAGGTAGCAATGCTTCAGAATGCCAGTTGCTGCAGGAGGGGCGTGTGGTCTTGAGTTCGAATCCTGATTGTGGATTTCCCACAGGCATCTGGATGACCACTGTGACAGATGCCTGTGGGATTTATGTGGAGAGGGGGCGCAGGTCTCCTGCCATTGGCATAGCGAAGGGCGGCAGCTGCTCCCCCGAAATTAAGTAATAAAAATACTTCAACTAACTGAGGTTCTGTCCGCCCCCCAACATGAAACCTGCCCCCCTAACAAAAATCCTGGCTATGCCCATGACACCCGCCTGTCATCATCACCCTCTGTCTGGCTCTGTCTAGCAGATTTGGAATGAATTGTCTCAACCACAGTTGTTTTAAATGGCTTTCTTTAGACCCCGAGTGCTCAGAGAAATCTGTCAAAATCTTCAGTCACTGGAAAACTAGGAAGTAAAATAATAATAACATCAAGGTGTACCTTTCATGCAGTTAATGGGTATATTTTGCAAAATTACAAAGGACATGCCCTTTTTCAATCTTTTTAAAAATAAAAACTAAAAGAAGTTTTCTTGGAAGTGTTCTGCAAAAATATGTTCTGATTATTTCTGCTATTAGTTAAGTATTTTAATATACTTACATGATTGGGGGTTGCTGCCCCCCTGACTATGTCCATTTACTGTGAGAAGAGGATGCTGGACTAGGTGGGCTCTTGGCCTGATCCATTAGCCTCTTTTTACATTCTCTTGCTCTTAACCGTAATTTGAGCACAAGAGATGCTCTCCTGCGGTTTCCAGCAACGTGGGATGCGGGTGGCGCTGTGGTCTAAACCACTGAGCCTCTTGGGCTTCCCAATCAGAAAGTCGGCGGTTCAAATCCCTGTGACGGGGTGAGCTCCCACTGGTCTGTCCCAGTTCCTGCCAACCTAGCAGTTCGAAAGCACACCAGTGCAAGTAGATAAATAAGTCCCACTGCGGCGGGAAAGTAAACGGTGTTTCCGTGCGCTCTGGTTTCCATCACAGCATCCTGTTGCGCCAGAAGTGGTTTAGTCCTGCTGGTGACATGACCTGGAAAGCTGTCTGTGGACAAACACTGGCTCCCTCGGCCTGAAAGCAAGATGAGCGCCGCAACCCCATAGTCGCCTTTGACTGGACTTAACCATCCAGGGGTCCTTTACCTTTTACCTTTACTGCCTCAAACTGTGGTGGCAGACTATGGCCATTGCAGCTAGCAGCTTTCTTCTCTTTTACTTTTAAATCCTCTTTTAAAGCCATCCAAGTTGGTGGTCCTGATTGCTTTCTGCGGGAGTGAGTTCTATCATTTAACACTGCACAGCATTCCTGTTGAGATAAGCTGTGGGTTAAACTACAGAGCCTAGGACTTGCTGATCAGAAGGTCGATGGTTCGAATCCCAGTGATGGTGTGAGCTCCCATTGCTCGGTCCCAGCTCCTGCCAGCCTAGCAGTTCGAAAGCATATCAAAGTGCAAGTAGATAAATAGGTACTGCTCCGGTGGAAAGGTAAACGGTGTTTCCGTGCTCTGCTCTGGTTCGCCAGAAGCGGTTTAGTCATGCTGGCTACATGACCCGGAAGCTGTACGCCGGCTCCCTTGCCCAATAAAGCGAGATGAGCACCACAACCCCTGAGTCGTCTGCGACTGGACCTAATGGTCCGGGGTCCCTCTACCTTTACCAGATATTTAGAAAGTTGACATAAGTTTAATCTGCTTTAGTATTATAACTTTTGTATGTTTTAAAGTAGGGTTGAGATTTTCTTTATTGCTTTTATTGTTTTATCTTTTGTAAACTGCTTTGAGATTATTATTTTTTACCATCAACTAGTGTATCTTATGAAATAAATAAAATAAATAAATTTTATTTTATAAGATAAGTAAAATGAAGTTTGTGAAATAAAAAGAAGAAGAAGGTGGGCATAACCTAATCTGTCCAGGTAACAAAAGGAAGAGTCACGCAACACACCTCTTTTTTTGTACTCCTTCGTTTGACTACCTTTTAGCTAGGACTACTCTGCTAGCTCTCAGCTAGCAGAATAGTGGGATTATTCCCCCATATGGGGTAGATCCACATGTACATATTTGTAACTAAGTCTGCCTTCAGGGATTCAACTGTGAACTGATGTAAGTAAACTTCTTTTATTGACTTTGAGAAAAAAACAACAGCAACAATGCTGCTTTCTTTTATCTGTGCCGAATCTACCAACTTCAAACTACATCTAGAGGGTCTCAGGTGAGCTACCTTTGTCCTAAAGGCTGCTTGTTCATTCCCTATATCATCTGCCTTGCAGGGAAGAATGAATGGAAGGCTATCCCAGAATGTCTCAAACCAGAGGTGGCCAAATGATGTTGGTGACCCTTTCCCAACATCCGACGAGGAGAAAGACGGAATGACCACAAATCCTTGATTAAACACTTATTCCGAAGAATCCGGGAGTCTCCCAAGGCTTCTTTGAGATCCCTGAACGCCTTGCCCTGGGATTTAAGGCTTTCATTCCGATCACATTGGAAGATGTTGTCAAGGTAGCGAGTGGCCTACTTACAGCAATCAAAGACTTCTCAAGATTTGCATCTTGAAACGGCAGCTGGAGAAAGAGTGTGTGTTTGTGTGTGTGAGAGAGAAAGCAGATTACATAACGACAGACGGCTTTTGTTTATTTGCTTAAACTCAACCTTGCGTTGTAGTCAAGAAGAGACGCAGGGGCAATTTTGATAATCCATTCCTTTTTAATAACATTCGCAGAGTGCGATGCGGTGGACTGGCACTTTGGAGACTGGTTGACAGCCTGCCTGTGGTGTTTGCTCTGAGGGAGCACTCCAGAGACCTCATCTCCACAAGCCCGCAGGCAGTGGCTAAGTAATTGAATGTCTCCACACACTGATCCTTCATATATATATATATATGGTGTGTTTATCTGTTCAATATTTCCTAAAAGGCTATATTTACCTGTGCACGACACAACATATCTGCATTTGATACACAACAAAACAAACACACACACACACACACACACACACACACAAAAGGGGATGGAATGTGTGGAGAAATGTGTCATTTGTAAAAATTGTAGGAGAAAACCGTCACTGGCGAATATTTATTTTTTCATTTACTGCTTTTCCATCCCACCCCCCCCAAAAAGAATTAAGGTGCTGCCTGTGGTTCTCCCCTCCCTCAGTTAATCCCCACAGATACCCTCCAGGATAGGTTAGGCTGAGAGACAGTAACTGCCCCCCCCCAAGGTCACGCCGAGTGACCTTCAAATGGCCGAGTCGGGATTTGAACCCCAGTCTCTCAGATGCTAGTCTGACATTCTAACCACTATACCAGGGGTAGGCAACCTAAGGCCCGGGGGCCGGATGCGGCCCAATCGCCTTCTAAATCCGGCCCGCGGACGGTCTGGGAATCAGCGTGTTTTTACATGAGTAGAATGTGTCCTTTTATTTAAAATACATCTTTGGGTTATTTGTGGGGCATAGGAATTCATTCCTTCCCCCTCCCCCCCCAAAAAATATAGTCCAGCCCACCACATGGTCAGAGGGACGGTGGACCGGCCCACAGCTGAAAAAGGTTGCTGACGCCTGCGCTATACCATGCTGGCTTTGGTGTGGGGATGTAAGAAGGCGCCATTTTCCGTTCGTCCTCGTGTTTACTGCACACAGCACTGTTTCCATCCCGCTGCAATTTGGCTTCTTCCCAAAGACCACATTCTTCATCTTGCCGTCTGCTGTAGTAAAGCCACGTGACTTACACCATGGATTCCATATATCATGTAAACAATGTAAGGAACGTCCTCATGTCATTCCATTGCATTTGGTTTACGGCAAAGGAAGCACGGCCCAAATACGGGAAAGAGTAGTCAATTAGGTTGCACTGAAAGCAACAAGAATTTGTATTCGCTGGATTGATTTCCGTCCCAGGCAAAACGGAACGCAGTGTCTGCATTGCTATTTATCTTTCCCCTTCAGGGTCTCTCTTTCTTGCCATCAGTGCCCCCACTGTGGCATCGCTGCAAGTAACTCAATTCCCCCTTAATCTGCCTTGCCAGCTAGGGCTCTGTGCTACATTATTTTAATGCCTCCGTGTGGCTTGTGAGAGCTCTTCCATTTATTTTCCTGTCTCATGGAGTTCTCTCCCATCCCCCCATAGCTGCCTAATGTTTTATTCGTTTTTGTGGCAGAGCCTTCTGGCTTCTTCACACCTGGCTTCCAATTTTCTCCATTTCAGCACCCCCATACACACACACACCACAATCTTCTTGACAGTGTCCTAGCAAGCATTGCTCTTGCAGAGGCAGATCTCCTTCTGGGATTGGTTCTGTGATGCTTCACAGGGCGGGAGGGAGCTGTGTTGGGATGTCACGCTACTCCAGGGGAATATTGCAGCTAGGGAAGCATTTATTTGAGATATTTGTATACCGCTGTGTAATAAAAATATACATCAAAGTGGTTTACAACAATAAAACCATACTGTAAAAACTGATTTTAAAAAGTATTAAAACACACACACACACACACACACACACACACACACAGTTATACAGTGCTTTTTTTCTAAAAAACTGTTTAGGGGTGCTCTCATTTTCCTACTCATAGTGAAATACTGCCCCTCAATGAGACCAAACGTAGATTCATAAAATGTTTAGGGGTATACATACCCCTGCTTTCCCCCAGAAAAAAAGCAGTGTGTGTGTGTGTGTGTGTGTGTGTCTGTGTGTATACACACGTGTGTGTGTTTGTGTGTGCGTTTGCACACACACACACACACGATCCGTTCCGGTGCCCCATTTGCATCCTGAATAGAACATAAGACGCACCTGCGCGTCTGCGCATGCACGGGTCACGTTTCGCCACTTCCACACATGCACATGGCATCATTTTGACCGTCTGCGCATGCGCGAGCGTTGGAACCCGGAAGTAATGCACTCCGTTACTTCCGGGTCACCACGGAGCGCAACCCGAAAATACTTATCCTGAAGCATATTTATCCTGAGGTATGATTGTATGTGTATACGTATGTACATATGTGTGTGCACGCACGCACGCACACACACACACACACATGCACACAGTGCTTTTTTCTTTAAAAGTGTTCAGGGGTACTCTCACTTTGACTTAAGAAAATCACTGGGAAAGGAAATGAAGCCGCCATCAGAGTCACAAAATGTTTAGGGGTATGTGCACCCCTTTGTCCCCCCAGAAAAAAGCACACATACACACACAAACACAAACACACTCTACCCTATAACCTCAGGTCTTGGGGCAGTTCACAGAATAAAATCAAAATATAAAACCACAAAATACATAATCAAAATAAAAATAACTCCCCCCCAACCCCCAACCCCATTTTAAAAGGGCACAGTTAACCATTGTAGAAGGCTTCATTGCCTGCATTGCCTGGTGGAATAGGAAAGTTTCCAGACACAGTTTAGAGCTTGGCACAGAATGCATTCACTGTATCTCTATTGGCAGAGAGTTCCACAGGACTGGGCCAATGACACCAAAGGCTCAGTTTCTTGCTGCTGTCAAAGAAACCTCACCAGTGCTATTTTTCTAGAAAAACAGGTGCTCACCATGAACGTCCTTTTGTTCTCCTAGAATGGCAATTAGTGCCCATCTGAGAGGTGCCAGAGCTGAGTTCCTGTGAAAAAGCCGTCCTGAGCCTCCCCAACTCGGGGAATGGCTAGGGATTCTCCTGAGGATGATCTCTGTGGTGGAGCTGGGATACTGTAGAAGGGTTCAGGAGATCCCCGAGGGATCCTGTCTGTCAGGGATTCTTGAGCTGTGGTTTCTGAATTGCAGGGGATGCAACTAGATAACCTTTGCATATCCCTTCCAACTCTACAATTCTCTCTCTCTCTCTCTCTCTCTCTCTCTCTCTCTCTATCTCTCCGAATTTAATGGAATTATAAAGTGGAGAGGAGCTAGGAAACTGGAGAGGAGCTTTCAGCACCGCACCAGATGCTACTGTGTTCATTCCATGTTAGCTTTCTTTCTTTCTTTCTTTTTTTTACAATAATATTTATTATTTTCCATACATAAACATAACAGAAGAAAGAGCCAACAATAATACAGTGGTGCCTCGCAAGACGAAATTAATCCGTTCCGCAAGAGTCTTCGTCTAGCAGTTTTTTCGTCTTGCGAAGCAAGCCCATTGACGGATTAGCGCTATTAGCGCTATCAGCTGTTTAGCGGCTATTAAAGGCTTAAAGGCTTAGGGGATTAGCTGCTAAAAGGCTATTAAAGGCTATTAAAGGCTTAGCAGATTAGATAAAGGGGGAAAAGCGAAAAAAACCTCAAGACTCGCAAGGTATTTTCGTCTTGCGAAGCAAGCCCATAGGGGAATTCGTCCTGCGAAGCAACTTCAAAACGGAAAACCCTTTCGTCTAGCGGTTTTTCCGTCTTGCGAGGCATTCGTCTTGCGGGGCACCACTGTAAAGAAAAAAGAATGAAACAGAAAAAGAAAAAAGAACATATAACATAAAATACATCAAATCACCACATAAACAAAAACTTGATTAATTAATCAAAATCCATCTTCATAAACGTATTACTTGACTTCCTCAAATCTCTTCCATCTGAGTTTCTTAGTAATTATATATAGCAGTTTCCAATATCATTATTTCATAAAACCGTATCACAGTCATAGTCCTATTTCCGAACTTTTCTTATCGTACATTTTCTTATTTATTTATTTAATCCCAATTTAATCCTAGGCCTAATTGATTCTTTCAAATGATTACATATCTTTATCATTCTATGTTAGCTTCCTTAGCCAGGGTCTGGTGCCTCCCCCATCCTTGTCTTGCAGTTAGAAAAAAAAGGGCTCCTTTTTCTCCATGGAGCAAACCCATTTGTTACCGGAGTTTCTGAATGGCAGGCCGTTACCTGCGAAGCATCGCATAATTCCGTGCTCCTATTGACATTGCTCTTTAATTAAAGACCGTGTAAATGCACCGTGTACGCAGCTCCCCATCAGATAGGATTTATGCCCCTCTGAAGGGAGGGATGCTGTGTTAAAGGAGCGGAGACGCGCGCGCGAGGTGCATTCTAAGTTTTCTCCACTTCTAACTTCAGGGGGCCAGAGAAGATTTGCAATCTGCTCGGGCTTTGTGTCAATCAAGTTAATGGGAAACCAAGCACAGCAACAACCCAGAGAGATAAAGAGACCACGTGGAGATCTCTAGACCTGGGCAGTGCTTCAGTGTGACACGAGGTGCTGATAGCAACATCTCTAAGGGACTCAACGACTTCCAAGGTCCTCAGCTGGGCGATAAGGCCATCAGCGTCCAATAGTCAAAAGGGCTATGTTCTACAGTGGTACCTCGGGTTAAGTACTTAATTTGTTCTGGAGGTCCGTTCTTAACCTGAAATTGTTCTTAATCTGAGGTACCACTTTAGCTAATGGGGCCTCCTGCTGCTGCTGCGCTGCCGGAGCACGATTTCTGTTCTCATCCTGAAGCAAAGTTCTTAACCTGAAGCACTATTTCTGGGTTAGCAGAGTCTGTAACCTGAAGTGTATGTAACCTGAGGTACCACTGTACTTCCATTGACAGAGTGGGAGATGTAGTGAAGGCCAGAAACTTGGATGGCTTTATAGAGGATTGGACAAAACTCATGGAATACATACAGTTGGAACTCCCTGCCTGTTGACATCAGCAGGCCCCTTCACTGTACAGTGGTGCCTCGCAAGACGAAAAGAATCCGTTCCGCGAGTCTCTTCGTCTTGCGGGTTTTTTTGTCTTGCGAAGCAAGCCCATTAGCGGTTTAGCGGATTAGCGCTACAGTATTAGCGGCTTAGCCGGCTTAGCGGATCAGCTGATAAGCGGCTTAGCGATCAGCTGTTAAGCAGCTTAAAGATCAGCTGATAAGCGGCTTAACGATCAGCTGATAAGCGGCTTAGCGATCAGCTGTTAAGCGGCTTAGCCATCAGCTGATAAGCAGTTTAGCGGCTTGGGAAAAAGGGGGGGGAGGAAAAAACCCCCGCAGGAACTCGCAAGACATTTTCGTCATGCGAAGCAAGCACATAGGAAATTCGTTTTGCGAAGCACCTCCAAAACGGAAAACCCTTTCGTCTAGCGGGTTTTCCGTCTTGCGAGGCATTCGTCTTGTGGGGCACCACTGTACTCTTTTCTTTTTTATATATATATATCAATTTTTTTGAATTGATTTTCCACATTTATAACAAATATAACATATAAAAAACACAAAACAAAACATCTTACAATACTAAAAGAAAAAAAAAGAAAAAAGAATATAAACAGTCATTACTTCCAAAATCCAAGTTAACTTTCACTGTAGTCTGACTTCCTCGATTCCCCCCACCTGCTGAATTTCATTGTATCTCCTTTGTAGCAGTTCTCCAAAATCCTCTTGCTAATACAATTAACTCCTTCAACTAACTATCTTAGTAGCTAAGCTGCTAAAACAGAGACATGTGAAGACCCTCCAAGTGTCCCCATTTTCCAGGGACAGTTCCCAGATTTACAGAAGCTATCCTGTTGTAAACTGTTTTCTGATTTGATCCCTGAATGTCCCGCTTTTCCTTAGGACGTCCCTATTTCCATCAGAGAAATGTTGGAGGATATACTGTACATGTGTGTCAATCTGGGTTTTAGCTTATCATTGATTCTAGCTTTTATTTTTAATGTTTCAGGTAGGTTTTTTTAAAAAAGCTGTTTTTACTAATAATTTCATTGTTCCATTCCTTTTATAAGCTGAGTTTTTGGTTTGTTTTTAACCATCAAACAGCATATAAATTTTATTAAATATTCCAGTAGTTCTGTGTTGTTGTTATGTGCGCTCATGGGTTACATTGCTGGTATTATTAAAAAACCAATCTGGTTTCAATTGAAAGGACAATGTCAGGAGCTGCAGTCAAGCATAGGTCAACAATATGTTCTAAGAAAAAACCTGTTTCTTTTCCGTTATGGGGTATTCTGGAGCCCGTACAGTGGTACCTCGCAAGACGAATGCCTCGGAAGACGAAAAACGCGCAAGACGAAAGAGTTTTTCGTTTTTTGAGTTGCTTCGCAAGACGAATTTCCCTATGGGCTTGCTTCGCAAGACGAAAACGTCTTGCAAGTTTGTTTCCTTTTTCTTAAAACCGCTTGAAGAGGTGCAGTTGCGACTTGGCCGTGCTTCGCAAGACGAAAAGCTCGCAAGACGAAAAAACTCGCAGAACGAATTAATTTCATCTTGCGAGGCACCACTGTATAAGAGTCCTTAAGTGGATTCCCTATCGGTAGGAGAAAATAACAGAGGCCAACCAGAGAATACTGAGAAGCAAAGCAGCTAGTAAGCCTGATCTTTATTAAACTGTTGGAACAGGGTCCCCACTCACCACACGCAGGAGGGAGAGAGAACCCTGAACAATAGTGTGCAGGCCCTAATATAGACTTTTGAAATTGCCCACCCTGTAGCTCAAGACCACCACCCCAAAACATCATACATACATCACAGAAGGAGGCGGTCTACAGCAGAAATACATCACAGTAGGCAGTCTACAGCAGAAATCCTGTTTGCCAAGATACCTGACAATGGTCACAGATTGCTTTACCTGGGCAGCCTGGCCATTCTTGTGTGATGGTAAATACTTTAGTTCCTGAATCCGGTTCACAGACTCACCCTATTCATACACAAATATGCCCTTAAGACAGGTAAGCAAAAGACAGTAGAGAGGCTTTCTCATTTCCTTCCTCCTTCAGCGAAATATTTGAGGTCAATTTGGAAGTGTCAAAATGGTTTCAGGATTGCTCTCCTGTTCTATTTCAGACACGTGGTTTATACACTTATGTATGTGTTTGCCATGTACATTTATGAATGTTTATTTTATATTTGGGACCTTAGAATTATTATAACAAATAAAAAACCATGGTGTCAGTAAAGTTAACTCTTTTTTCAAAGAAGCTATAACAGTCTGGGCCTAGTGATCTCAACAACTCTTCCCAGTAGGTCTTGCTCCAACAAGGCAGCTGTGAGGACTGAAGGTCCCACCTTCTCCATACTTTCTAAGACTCCTCCTTTCCAGGGTTTTCCCAAGCAGTTGCAAACTGTCCTCTTCATTTCTCTGCATGTTCTGGGACACCAGGTTGTGGGGAGGGGAGCTGGTTGCAGCAGGAGGGGAAGACTCCCTGGCTTCTTCAGCAGCCTGCCTCATCTCTGTCTCCTGGCCCCACCCTGCTCCAGCCTCTGCTTCTGCCTCAGAGTCTGAACTGCCCTCTGCCACAGCCTCTACCTGCTCACCTGTCAGGGACTGTGCTGAGGGGGGCTGCACAGAGGAGGAATGGTGGGAGCCACCCCCTCTCCTTGCTCCTGCTCCTGCATTTTCCCAGGAGCTGGAGGACAGTATAGATTTGGAACAATGGTTTGCAGAGGGACATAGTTCAGAAGGCAGAAGCTAGGAAATACTGGATGGGGAACAGCTAGGAGAAGAAATGCTGGAAGAGAGAGGGTTAACAAATTCACAGTCGTTGGACAGCATTCCTCCAAGTTGAGAAGAGCTCAGAAAGTCTCAGGACAGAAAGCACAGAGGGTACAAGCTCAGTTTACAAGACATAGTGACATAGATTGATAGGGACAGAGGAGGTGTAAGCCTTAATTGGGAGCACCACCATTCTGGACAGACACTTTCTTTTGTCCTCCGCTGTGTTTATTAGAGAAACTAACTGGTAAGAATTCCCTTTCATTTGATCTGCTCATTCACAGCCATGGGGGAGGAAGCGGGGAGGAAGCCAATTCCCCGAAGCCTGACATCACCAAACCTGTAACCTTTTCTGCTTCCGACACCTCCTCCCAGTCTGCTCCTTCTTCTCCTTCCAACTACTCATCGTTGTCCCACCACCAATCCTCTGGCTTTGAGCTTTCTTCCCCTGGGGGTTCCTGGGGGGTGGGATTTCCCCAGCTGATGCCTCCCACCACTCCTCTGCATCCAGCCAGCCTATGGCGAACAATGCATCCAGGTGTTCAAGTTTTAAAAGAGCTCTTTGGGACCACAAACATAAGGATAAGAGCTTGGATTTCCCCCCGAACTTCTTTTAAAACTAGGATCATGCTGGGTCTAAGACCAATGAGATTAGGTCATCTCTGTCTGCCTCTCTGCGTGTGACACGACAATGGAGGCCAGACTCACCACTGAAGCCTATTAGCAGATGTCGAAAGAGGCAAGGAGTCTCCAGTGGTTGCCATCTCAGTAATCCCCTCTCTGATTTCAAACATGGGATCAGACACAGGTGAAAAGCAGATGCTCTTAATGCTGATCCTTCTTGGAAGGTAATCAATATGTCTGCCGACGAGGGAAAGAACAGCGTTAGATGTTGCTAACAGTGAGTTTGAGAAGAGTCATGGGGGGATGTGGTTTAATGAGCAGAGATCATGGCCCTTTTGCAATCGGATCCCATTGCTGAATTAATAAATATCAGAATAGAATTAAATATGATATTCCTGGAAGGTTGGGAATATTATTTATCTATTTTGCATTTATATTCCATTTTATTTTCTCCAAGGAGCTCACAGAGGCATACATGGTTCTCCCCCTCCTTGCTTAATGTCCACGACGACCCTGTGAGGTAGGTTATGCTGAGAGACAGTGACTGGCCCAAGCTCACTCAGTGAGCAACATGGCCAAGGGGGGGCTAGGATCCTAGTCTGACACTCTTAACCACTACACCAAACTGGCTCTCTAGGGTCAGAAAGTGATAGCATCTTAAAAGATGGGTGGTAGCGGGAAAAACCCAGTTCGGATTTGAGAAGCCAATTCTCCGACCACAGTGTGTTACAGAATAATGGGGGAGGGCAACAGGGGGAAATGAAGGCCTTAGCTAATTTGCAGCTGAGGTCACAGGCCCTTTCCAGTTAACATTCATGATCTGTCTCCACTATCTCCACTGAACACCAGTTGTTGGGAATATCTCCCCACCCCCCAAAAAAAAGTTCAAATGGGGTGCATGCACTGCATCATGTGATCGTTTAGGCGGTGGGGGGGTGGGGCTTACTTGGCCCCTCAATATTTTATTCAAGTTGCTACCCCTGATGGCCACTAACCTAAATAGCTTTAAAAGAGGATGTGATAAATTCATGGAGCAAGCTATCAGTGCCTACTAACCATGATGTCTATGCTCTGTCTCCACAGTTAGAGGTGCCCATGCCAGTTGCTGGAAACCAAGGGAGGAGAGCATGCTCCTGCGCATGGGTCCGGCTTGTGGGTTTCTCTTGCGCATCTGGTTGGGCACTTTGAGAACAGGATGCTCAACTAAATAGGCGGCCATTGCTCTGAGCCAGCAGGGCTCTGCTTGCATTCTGATCATTGGTGAAGGAGACAGAGCGCTGAGCTTTAAAAGAGGCAGAAATGCAGGTGCCCAGTTTCCACTCGAGAACAAAGCATACTGTAAGTGGCCTAGCCTACCTCAGAGGGTTGTTGTGAGGGCAGAACCGGGGAAGCCTGTGCATGCACCTGTAAAAAAAAGAAACAAAGTTTTGCACTGTGGTCACCTTGGAGCATTATTTTCCTCCCAGATCCAGTAAAGGCTCTATTAATTACTTCATTAGCCTAATGGTCTCCAATGCACTTTGGAGACTAAAGGGCCAGGACACTGCAGAATTCTAACGCTGATGATTGATGCAAAGGCCATGTGCTTCCATTACTCCTCGCTGATGCTAATTGTATGCTGGAGGTTGTTTTCCTGCTGTCTCTCCCCACTGCCATTTACATGCCTCCCTGGATCAGGTTTCCTAAGCTCATTGGATGAAAAACATAGAATTGTAAAGTTGGAAGGGACCCACCCAAAGGGTTATTGGGTCCAACTCCCTGCTATGCAGGAATCACAGCTAAATAATCCCTGACACGTGGCCATCCAAATTCTGCTTAAAAGCCTCCACTACCACTTTCTGAGGGAGTCCATTCCACTGTCGAACAGCTTAGTCAGAAAGCTCTTCATTTGCTTTGTTGACGTGGGTGGCGCTGTGGGTTAAACCACAGAGCCTAGGACTTGCCGATCAGAAGGTCGGCGCTTCAAATCCCCATGACGGGGTGAGCTCCCATTGCTCGGTCCCAGCTCCTGCCAACCTAGCAGTTCGAAAGCACATCAACGTGCAAGTAGATAAATAGGTACCACTCCGGCAGGAAGGTAAACGGCGTTTCCGTTGCTGCTCTGGTTCGCCAGAAGCAGCTTAGTCATGCTGGCCACATGACCCGGAAGCTGTACACCGGCTCCCTCGGCCAATAAAGCGAGATGAGCACTGCAACCCCAGAGTCGGTCATGACTGGACCTAATGGTCAGGGGTCCCTTTACCTTTACCTTATTGTTGGCCTCCTAACCTACCAGTCCCAATGGTCACCACCCATTGGCATAGCTGTCAACTTTCAGATTTGAAAATAAGGAATCAGCAGCCTCGAAAATAAGGGATCATCAGCCTCACCCTTCCCGGGGACAGTCTATGGGATATCTAACAATCCAGGATAGCAGCGGGAAGCAGCGGGAAACGGTGCTAGAACAAGGGAATTTCCCGCAAAAAAAGGGAAGGTTGACAGCTATACCCATTGGACCAATTGTAAGACTCAATATAAGGCAGCTTCTTATGTTCCTATGAGTCCAGAAGCCAGTTTGAAAGTTGGCAACTGTTGCTGTTGCTATATCTGCCCTTGTATTGATGCTGCTAGAGAGTGGGAGAAAGATGATTGGCCGATCCCTGCCCCTCTTATGATGTCACAATTGCACTGGTGCATGCAAGGATGGAAAAGCAAGGGATTGGTTCACTTGTCTCTGATGTCATAATCACTGCCTGGGATGGGTAGTTACAGGAGATTTGAGGTGAAGGACTGCTTTGCGTTGTCTGCTCTTCATTAGGTAACTTATACTACACATATTTATTCCCTGGTGTGGCGTTTGCCCTCCTAGGTGTGTGACATCATGCTGGGTCATAAGGAAAGGGCTAACTAAGTGTAAAATGATTAACCAATAGGAACCCAAGGGGAGGAGTTAGAGTTAGAGTTGTTAAGAAATCAGTCTGGCATTAGAGAAGGGAGAGGGAGGATAAGTCTGTGGGTTGGGCTAGTTTGATGTGAGAGAGTGAGAGAATCTGTTAAGAGGAGTCAGTTAAACAGTTGGGATACTCAGTTAGAAGGTATTAGGAAGGTATAGGCCGGTAAAGAAACTAAGGTTAAGAAACTGACAAGAAAAATTATCTGAAACCATAAACTTGTTAATGCTTATAAAATAAACTTGTTTATTTGGTTTAATGTTAACAACTGTCTGGACTCAGTGTGTAGAGAAACGGGTTGGTGGCAGCGCGGAAGCGATCACAGTGGTGGCACAGGGATCAATAGACCGTCAAATGTCCGGGGACCCTGTGTGATCGCCACACCTGGACTCAGGGTGTTAATGCTTTAGGTCACCCAATGGTCTTCTGCTGTCATCATCAGCCAACAGAGGTAAGGGCTATCATAATCAATCACACAATTGGTGGGTTGGAGTATACAGACCAGGAATCTGGATTGTATCCAATATTGAAATTGCAGCCCGGGAAGGATTGTGGAATGCAGATTTGAAATTTACAGTGTGTTATGTGATAAAAGTGTCTTTAATTATATGAAATGATGCATAGATGGTATCTGACTTCTAGTAAATTAGCAAAAATGTATGTCGAAATCAGCTGGAAATGGAAAGAGAAGGAGGGCACCTTCTTCCACATGTGGTGGACATGTAAGGTAGCAAAAGCTTTCTGGGAAATGATATATAATGAATTGGGAAAAAATACTAAAGATAACCTTTGTCAAAAAACCAGAAGCTTTTCTTTTAGGTATAATCGGTGGAGAGGTACCCAAAGAGCAGAAAATGAACTATTTATGTACACCATAACGGCTGCCAGAATGAATTATGCCCAGAGATGGAAAGAAGAAACAGCTCCATCGAGGGAGGGCTGGCAATTAAAACGGATGGAATATGCTGAAATGGCAAAACTTACCGGAATAATAAGAAATCAAGAAGAGAGACTTTTTAACACAGAACAGGGAAAGTTTATGAATGATTTGAAGATGTAAACAACTTAAAACATTAGCAGGATTGATATAGAAAACGTGCAGTAGGAATAACTTAAAGGGAATCTAAAAGGAAAATTAGTAAACAGGTTTGGATTGGATATGCAATGGTAAAAGATACAAAATACCGGGTAAGTAACCACAGAAAAGGGGAGAGGGGTCGAGGAGGATGTGGTATTGTAGACTGATTGTGTAAAGACGTTTTTTGTTTAAATATTGTAAAATGACATATATATATATATCCGAAGGAGCGTCTCCACCCCCATTATTCTGCCCGGACACTGAGGTCCAGCACCGAGGGCCTTCTGGTGGTTCCCTCGCTGCGAGAAGCCAAGTTCTAGGGAACCAGCCAGAGGGCCTTCTAGGTAGTGGCACCCGCCCTGTGGAACGCCCTCCCACCAGATGTCAAAGAGAAGAACAACTACCAGATTTTTAGAAGACATCTGAAGGCAGCCCTCTTTAGGGAAGCTTTCAATGTTTAACAGACCACTGTATTTTAATACTTTGTTGGAAGCCGCCCAGGGTGGCTGGGGAGACCCAGCTGGATGGGCGGGGTATAAATAATAAATTATTATTATTATTACTCAGAACTCGCCCGAAATGCAGCAGCCAGATTGCACTAGTTGCCAGTTTCTTTCCAGACCTGACTCAAGGTGCTCAAGGTGTATTTTGTTGGAAGCCGCCCAGAGCGGCTAGAAAAACCCAGCCAGATGGGCAGGGTAGAAATTATCTGGGTTGCATCAAGCTAAGCTCTGCTCAATGGATGCCTATTTAGAGCACTCCTAAAAACTCCTATTTAAAGCACTCCTAGGAGGCTCCTAAGCCTTCTAGAGCACAATATACACCAGTTTGTTCAGAACTGAGAACACACTTCCAGATTTAACGCTAAATACATTACTTCTGGTAAATGAGCCTCCATAGCTATTAGAGGGCTGTGAAAATTTGTATCCTGGGCTTTTTAGACTCGTCTACCCACAGAGCCTAGGACTTGCCGATCAGAACGTCAGCGGTTCGAATCCCCGTGACGGGGTGAGCTCCCATTGCTTGGTCCCTGCTCCTGCCAACCCAGCAGTTCGAAAGCACGCCAAAGTGCAAGTAGATAAATAGGTACCGCTCTGGCGGGAAGGTAAACGGCGTTTCCGTGCTCTGCTCTGGTTCGCCAGAAGTGGCTCAGTCATGCTGGCCACATGACCCGGAAGCTGTACGCCGGCCCCCTCGGCCAATAAAGCGAGATGAGTGCCGCAACCCCAGAGTCGGCCACGACTGGACCTAATGGTCAGGGGTCCCTTTACCTTTACCTTTACCCAAGTACTATCTGAAACCAAAGGGGCACATGGGTTGCCAGATGTGATTCCACCCCCACCCCCTGCTCTCCTACCCAACTAAAGGTGTTGTTCTTCTTTTGTAAATCATCTCTGAAAGAAAAACAAAAACAAAACAGTCATCCTGGTTCCCCTGACCTTTCTCCTGCGCTCAGGAGACCAGATCAATAAATTTCACAAGTGCTGAGCCAGGGGGAAGGAAAGGCCATAGCCAAAGCTTCCCACTCTAATGAGATGGGTGTCCTTTCGTGTGCCAATGCTGCCCAGAGAATCAGTTCGTTGTTTGTTCTGAGCGCCATACTTGTTAGCATTGGGGAATCGGCTGGATTTGAAGCAGTTTAACCTTTTGAGAGTTTTGACTAGGCTGGGCCTTTGCAAGAGGGGAGACAGGTATATCAAGGTGATAGCGTTCGTATTGATCAGGGAGGAGAGGTGGTTGGTCATTTTGCATCCAAAATGCAATGCACATGGTGCTAATAGGCGTTATAAAATCTTTATCGCAGGCGGTATCTGTCTTGGATTTGAGATGGTTTTATGCATGCGCAGCTGTACACTGTTTTTATTGCTGTGATTGTTCTTATTGTAGGTTGTTTTTATGCAGTGCTTTTTTCCTGGGGTACACAGAACTGGCACTTTTCTTCTTAAAAGAAAAGCACTGGTTAAAAATGTGACAACATGGTGAGTACCGGCACATTTTTTCCTCTCTCTCCCCCCAAATTATTTTTATTAGTTCTCCAAATTATTGCAAATCAAACTAAATCACTTTAATTTAATACAATTTCTTTTTTAAAAACCAGGTTTCCTGCTCCTGTTGCAAACAGGTTTCCTCCTGTAGCTGCATCATGTCTTCTTTAATATCCATTTGATCCTTCCCTTGTTGTTAGTCCATTCTTACAGCTCATTTTTTTCCTAGAAGGAAAGTACTGATGGGGTGAGCAGGAGCAAAGTTTAGCTTTGGAGGGGGGAGCCGAGTTGGGAGCTAATGTGTGTGTAGGGAGAGGGTTGAGAGTGAAGCAGGGGTGGTTGTTTTTCCCCAGCCAGAGCTCACCTGAACTCAGTTCTGGCAACCTCAGAGGTGGACGCCATTGCCATTATAAGAGAACAAGAGAGGTGTACACGGTGAGTTCCAGCACATCTTTTTTTTTCTGGAAAAAATAGCACGGCTTTTATGTATGCAATTGTTTTATCTGCTTCTATAGATGCTGTTGTTTTTGTCCATGGAGTTTTCTTGGCAGGGATACTGGAGTGGCTTGCCGGTTCCTGCTCCAGGTGGATCACGTTTAGTCAAAACTCTCCACTATGACCTGTCCATCTTGGGTGGCCCTGCACGGCATAGCTCATAGCTTCTCTGAGTTATTCAAGCCCCTTCACCACAACAAGGCAGTGATCCATGAGAAGAGAAGACTCCCTGGAAAAGACCCTGATGTTGGGAAAGATGGAGGGCACAAGGAGAAGTGGATGACAGAGGACGAGATGGTTGGACAGTGTTCTCGAAGCTACTAACATGAGTCTGATCATGGTCCATGGGGTCACGAAGAGTTGGACACGACTAAACGACTAAACAACAACAACATAGATGCTGTTACATTGCAAATCACTTTAGGTAATGATATTAGGTGACATCAGGTGTTTGGGAGCAGGGAAAGACTCAGCTGCAAATGAACAAACAGAAGAGTTGACTGTGAGTTGTTCCGTGCAAGAAGGACCCACCGTCAGTGTTGATGGGCACTTAAAGCAAGCCCCATGGAAGTTGTACATTTTCAGATAGGGTTTGAATTTAAGCCACACACACACACACACACACACACCTTTTTAAATTAAATTTTCTAATTTACATTTCCAAATATTCATTTAAACAACCTTAAATCAGTGACTTCCCTTCTTCTTTTTCCGTAGTTCATCGTGACTATCAAACGTCCCTGCATATTTTACAAGAACCAAACCATTCAGTATACCATTGTTACATCCATCAAAACCTATTTACACTGCTGAATTTGTCTTAATGCTACCAGCCTTTTTAAATGAACACAATTTTCACCCATATATTCAGTAAACATCTTCCAGTCTTCTTTAAACATATGTTCTTCTTCTTTTCTTATTCTATATGTTAAATCTGCAAGTTGCACGTATTCCATCAGTTTAAGTTGCCATTCTTCTTTGGTTGGGACCTCTCCATTTTGGGGCTGATAAGTCACGGGCCGCAGTAGTAGTATACATAAATAGTCAAAGCTGACTGTCAGTTATTCCTTGCAAGCAGGACCCCTCCACTATCAGCGTTGATCAGCACTTAAAGTGAGCCCCATGGAAGTTGTTCATTTTCAGACAGGGTTAGAATTCAAGCCACACTTAAGAACATAAGAAAAGCATGATGAATGAGGCCAATGGCTGATCTAGTCCAGCATTCTGTTCTTAAAGCAGCCACCCAGGTACCTGTGGGAAGCCTGAAAGAGGGACCCAAGCACAAGAGCAACTTTCCTCTCCTGCAGATCCTAGCAGCTGCTACAGTGGTACCTCGGGTTAAGAACTTAATTCGTTCCGGAGGTCCGTACTTAACCTGAAGCTGTTCTTAACCTGAAGCACCACTTTAGCTAATGGGGCCTCCTGCTGCCGCTGCGCCGCCGGAACACAATTTCTGTTCTCATCCTGAAGCAAAGTTCTTAACCCGAGGTAATATTTCTGGGATAGCGGAGTCTGTAACCTGAAGCGTCTGTAACCTGAAGCGTATGTAACCTGTGGTACCACTGTATTCAAAAGCACTGCTGCCCCCATCTATGGAGGTATCGTATAACCATCACGGCATGCGGCCATTGAGAGCCCTCTCCTCCATGAGGGCTGTTGAAGGCTACTAACCACACATGCCACACCTGCATACAGAACTTTGCACCCCAGCTTTTCAAGGCAGATTTGCCAACAGTAAAAGCTAGATGCATATTATAAATGCACCCTTATCTAGCCCTGATTTATGTCCCTCCCAGTCTATCCCTGATTGTGTTATGATCCTATAAGGATGTACCTTGTACATAGATTATTTTTTTAAAAAAAATCATCCTGGGGAAAATATCAGGTCTTTTTGCAGATACGCAGCAATAGACATGGACTACCCTTCCACAACAAAAGCGCCCCCCCCCGCATTGCCCTGCATATAATTTCTGCCCAAATCTCAGAGGAACAAGGCAAATCCCTCCTCATAGGCCTCCTCTGATTGCTTTTCATTTCTATGTTGCCCGCGGCTGACAAAATCTATATTCGCTCACTCTGGGATATTGATTTGGTGAAATATGGGGGCTGCCTTTTGCAAAGAAGGGACTTTCAAGACTGGAAGAAGCAGGAGTGGGAAACCCAGAGTTTATGCAACATTTTGCAATCTGGGGAACCATTTAACCTTCTTTTCCACCTGCATCTTAGCCAAATGGTCTCGAATAATAATAATAATAATAATAATAATAATAATAATAATAATTTTATTATTTATACCTTGCCCATCTGGGCGGCTCCCAACAGAACAAAACTTCAAACATTAAAAACTTCCCTAAAGGGACTTGGATGACTAAAGGGCCAAATTGGTGCAAACTCCACATAGTTTCATTACTCCCATCTGGTGCTAAGTGTATTGCCTGCCCTCTTGGACACCAGAGGTTGCCTGAATACATGGTACAGAGGTAAAAGGAAAGCTAAGTGTCATTGGACATGCACTCTGGACTTTAAGAAGGCTGATTTCAAAGAGCTTAAGGAATTACTGGGTGAGATTCCACGGTCAGAAATACTGAAAGAGAAGGGAGTCCACGATGGATGGGTGTTTCTTAAAGTTGAAATATTGAAGGCACAAAGATGATTCCAACAAGAAAGAAAAGTGGGAGGCATCTAAAGAAACTTGCATGGCTGCATAAGGAGCTTACATATGATTTGAAACTTAAGAAGGGCATGTATAAGAAATGTAATTGGGTGACAGAGAAGGCAGAACTGCAGAACCTCCAAGTGTCCCTATTTTCCAGGGACAGCCACAGATTTACAGAAGCCGTCCAGGTTTCTGATTTGTTAGCAGAATGTCCCTCTTTTCCATAGGACATCCCTATTTGCAGAAGAAGAAGAAGAAGAAGAAGAAGAAGAAGAAGAAGAAGAAGAATTTGGATTTGATATCCCGCTTTATCACTACCCTAAGGAGTCTCAAAGCGGCCAACAATCTCCTTTCCCTTCCTCCCCCACAACAAACACCCTGTGTATCTGAAGAAGTGTGCATGCACACGAAAGCTCATACCAATAACAAACTTAGTTGGTCTCTAAGGTGCTACTGGAAGGAATTTTTTGTTTGTTTGTTTCGCCTGTGAGGTGAGTGAGGCTGAGAGACTTCAGAGAAGTGTGACTAGCCCAAGCTCACCCAGCAGCTGCATGTGGAGGAGTGGGGAAGCGAACCTGGTTCACCAGATTACGAGTCCACTGCTCTTAACCACTACACAACATTTCTCTCAGAGAAATGTTGGAGGGTATGGAGTTATGTGACCCCCAAGCCAAGGAGATAAGTAACTATACAACCTTTAGAAGACATCTGAAGGCAGCCCTGTATAGGGAAGAGGTTTTTGTTGTTTTTAAAAAATGTTTAATGTTTTATTATGTTTTAGGATATGTTGGAAGCCACCCAGAGTGGCTGGGGCAACCCAGTTTAGATGGGTGGGGTATAAATAATGAAATAATAATTATTATTATTATTATTATTATTATTATTATTATTATAGTGGTACCTTGGGTTACAAATGCTTCGGGTTACAAACACTTCAGGTTACAGACTCCACTAACCTGGAAGTAGTACCTCGGATTAAGAACTTTACCTCAGGATGAGAACAGAAATCGTGCAGCGGTGGCACAGCGGCAGCGGGAGGCCCATTAGCTAAAGTGGTATCTCAGGTTAAGAACAGTTTCAGGTTAAAAACGGACCTCTGGAACTAATAAAGTTCTTAACCAGAGGTACCACTGTATTATTATTATTGAATGGGATGTCCCTATCTTCATCAGAGAAATGTTGGAACTGCTCAACACCTACTTTGCCTCTATCTTCACCCCAGAGAAAAGCAGTGCCCAACCTGGTGATAACAGAATAAACGATGCAAGGAGGGAGCCCAAAATGATAAAAGAAGTGGTAAGGGAATGCCTGGTTACTTTAAATGTATTCAGCTCTCCAGAACCTGATGAGCTGCTCCTAAGCATACTAAAGGAGCTTGTGGATGTAATCTTACAGCCTGTCTTTAATCTTGGAGAATCCTTAGAAAACAGGTGAAGTTGCTGCAGATTAGAAGCAGGCAAATATTGTTCCCATCTTCAAAAAGGGGAAAAAAGAAGACCCAGAGAACTACTGAGCAGTGACATCAATTCCAGGAAAGGTCCCAAAACAAATAATTAAACAGTCGGTCTGTAAGTGCTAAGAAAAGGATGCTGTGATTTCTAAGACCCAACATGGGTTTCTCTAAAACAAATGGTGCCAAATGAATCTCACTACAGTGGTACCTCAGGTTACAGACGCTTTAGGTTACAGACTCCGCTAACCCAGAAATAGTACCTCAGGTTAAGAACTTTGCTTCAGGATGAGAACAGAAATCGAGCGATGGTGGCGTGGTGGCAGCAGGAGGCCCCATTAGCTAAATTGGTACCTCAGGTTAAGAACAGTTTCAGGTTAAGAACGGACCTCCAGAATGAATTAAGTGCTTAACCTGAGGTACCACTGTACTTCTTTTGGGATACAGTTACAAGCTTGGTGGATCAGAAGAATGCTGTGATGTAATGTATCCTGATTTCAGTAAGGCTTTTGACAAAGTCCCCCATTATATTCTTGTGGAAAAGCTGGAAAAATGAGGTCTGGATGAGGTAAAGTGGATTAGGTCAGTGACCCATCTAGCGCAGCTTCCTGTTCTCACAGTGGCCAACCAGAGGCCTGTGGGGAACATCCAAGTCAGTGGCCATCCCTTCCTCCTGTGGAAGTGAGTTCCATAGTTGAACTCTGTGCTTCGTGAAGAAGGATTTTCTTTTATCTGCCCCAAATCTTCCAACATTAAGCTTCATTGGATGCCCACTAGCGTAATGTGAGAGAGGGGGAAAAAGCTTTTCCCAAGCCATTTTCTCCATGCCATGCATAACATGGAACTCACCCTGATTCCACACACCAAATCACAGCTTGAGCCTTGTTCCCTTTACAGGTTGTTGAAAATGATACTCAGAGAACGTTAGAAGTGCAAAAGTGGGGATCATTCCGTTTGTAACCTACAAGGTTAAGTCTGTTCTCAGTTTTAGTCAACAACTGAAGAGATGGGATGGAGTTGTTGCTTAACAACGAGGCAAAGTAGCATGGTTTCTGGTGCTGTGTAGTTTTGTGGCAGTTTTCCTCTGTGGATTTGGTGGAATGTCTCCCTGATATGTACAAGGCCCTAAGGAAGGAAGGAAGGAAGGAAGGAAGGAAGGAAGGAAGGAAGGAAAGCAGGCAAAAAATCTATCTGTTCATTTCTTCTCAGATTATATGCTGTGTTTTGTTCCCCTTTTCCTCAGTGAAGTGTTATTGGTCCTTTTCTACCTGGACTCCCCCAGCATTATTTAAAGGACTTTGCTAACAGAGAAGAATGCTTTTATCTGCTCTTCTGTAGCCTGATTCAGAAGACGATAGTGGAGCTGACTTTGAAGAGGCATTTTAGTATGCTGACTGCCTCCCCTCATGTGAATATAGAAGTGTGCAATTGTGTGCTTGGGGTGGGGGCTGTTTCATCTATATTTTTTAAGCCACATTCATTTCATTTTAACTGCATTTGCTTTAACTTACTTTCCTTCACTGATTTCAATGGAGACCCCTCTTGCCGCTTGGTACCTGAACCTTTGGGGTTTTCGATTCAAAATGGCACAAGACATAATAGGCTTTGTGCTACATGCTTGGGGTATCCCATATGCAATATTTCAGGCAGACTGGGAAACAGAAACACACACACAAACACAGAAAATGAATGTGCCCCACAATTGGTTTTGTTGTTTGTTTTACATTTTTTAAGAAATTGTTTTAATTCATTTAAGAATGAATCCTGCACATTCCTCTT